TCTGAAGCAGGGGTGTATGGTTAGTCCTAAGAACTTTCCTTATGACCTGATACGTATTTGCATGGTCTTTGGTTTGTTGTTTATCTATTTGGTTTTCTTTTATGCTAGGGACTCTTAACTTCATGGAATGCTTAGCTAATCAGCATTGACTTCATTGTTTGCATTTTCTGTAGTAGACAGCTTATATCATGGGTTTGGAGTCAGCCTGCCTGGTTCTAATCCTGGCTCCACTCATGCAGCAACTGGGACCCTGGGAAGGTCCCTCAGCCCACACTAGGCTGCTCAGGGATTTAGGTATCCCCGGCCTGTAGGACGTTTAGATAGGCTCTTGGTGGGCATGATTCTACCAATTAACCCAGTCTCTTCCCTATCACTTTTTCAACTAAGAAAGACATTTGTGATGCATAGTCTACCCTGTGGTCATGGTCCCAAAATGAAATTTGGAGCATCAATTATACCTTCTGCAGGGAAGCAAAACACGCAACCCAGCTATGAAAATATCCACGGCAAAGAAAAAGGCACAGGGGAATGGATTACATCTCCAGCAGTGGCTTTGGGCAGTGGCATGCTGGCAATTTCCATGTTTCTTTCTTTGCTTTTGTCAAAGTTTACAACTTCTCTAAAATGAATGGTACATTTCTATGCTGACAGTTATTAAACTGTTTATATCCCGAGTGATTTAATTACTTGATCCCTAAAAGCTCTGGAATGAAATGCAGCATTAAAATATTAAGTCTTAATCCATTCAGCTTTTTCCCCAGTACATGCGGACAAATGTATATGAAGGGTTTCTTCCTAAAACGTTATCAAAACGGTTTTCCACGGCATTGTGGGCAAAAAGATGAGCAGGGTACCGATGTGCCATCCTAGAGCTTAGGGTTGAACCCCAGTGGGTGTCTGTACCATCAGCAGCAGCCATATGAAAAGTAGCCATGCCCCCACGCCATTTCCACTTGCATCAAGAAGCTTCGACTTACCTAGGAGCAGATAGACCCAACACAAGATGTGCCAGACCCCTGTCCAGCAAATGGCCAGAATTGCTGCAAATAGCCTCACGCTGCTCTACTGTACAGATGTCAGCTTTCCAAATTTAGCTGTAGATTTAGGACAGTGTCAAAGGAAATCTTAGCAGGTGTTTTTGTGGACACTGAGAAGGTGATTTTTAAATATATATGGGAATGCCAGGTGTTGAGAATGGCCAATATAACATTGAAAATATGGAAGGAAAGAAGATGGAGGGCGTGCATTACCTCATGGCAAGACTTTTTGTAAGGCTGCAGTGTCAGACAGCATGGTATTGGCACAAGAGTAGACAAATAGATCAATGAAACCAGAGCAACCAGAAAGAGATTCGCATGTGACCACCTGATTAACGGCAAAGGTGACACTGAGGGCAGTAGAGAAATGAAGGCCTTTCAGTAAATGGAGCTAGATCTCCACATAGAAAACTTAATTTTGGCCCATGTCTTATACCAACATAAAAGTCAGTTCCAGGTGTCCCTAAGCCTCAAGTGTTGTGTTGGTCTGTACGATGGTAACAGTGGGCATGTCCCATGGTTATCTGAGGGTCACGTGAAGCCTCCACTCAGTGGCAGGCTCATGGAGGAGCTCTAGAATCTTCTTTCAGAACCTACTACTCTACCCTTTTTCTCTCTGTAAGGCCTTCTAGTAGCTACTAGGATTTTTTCAGAGATTATTTAATGAAAGCAGCAACCGTAATAATAATTAGCTCTTGTGTTATTACATAGTGACTGCCAGTCTAGCTATCTGTCTCTCTACTTACTTGTTCCTCCTAACAGCACCATAACAGGTGGTGCTGAAGTATCAGGTGCTGTTGCTGTTACATTTTACAGATGAGATAGCTGAGGCATACAGTAGCTTGCTCAGCATCACCCAGGTAATAAATGATAGCTTTGTGCCCAGACTCTGGTGTGTGAGCACTGGTGTCCGTAATTAACCCACATACTCTCCTGCCTCTCCCAAAATGACCCTGATTTTTCACTTCCTGTTCCTGTTTATCTGGGCCTTCCCATTTCAATGTCTCCCTTGAGGTCATCTTTCCCTGATGTTTGCACCCAGCCTGATCTCACCTTCCGGAATCCCTGGAATAGCTTTTGTGTAACTTAGTAAGGGTGTTAGTAGTGCCCCCTCATAATGACCTCAGTATAGTAATATAAGCAGTTAGCCCTGCTTTGATGCAGTGAGTGCTTACTGTGTACCAGGTGTCTGCTTGACTCTACCCATGCATTATCGTGTTGAGTGTCTAAAATAACACAGTGAAGAGAACTCAGCTGTGACTGCTGTTTTATAGAATCTGAGCTTCAGAGAGGTGGGGTGAAGTGCTTTGTCCAAGGCCCCAGCTAGATAGGGTGAGGGATCAAGCTCAAGACAGTCAGACTCCAGAGGCCAGCTCTTCACCACAGGGCTGGGCTCTTGCTAGCTGGGTCCGCCACTTGCACCTCTGGCTGTGTTTGGTTTTGTGTGTTGTGATCCAGATTATGTTCATGAAGACCCACTGCAACATTTATTGACCACCTGCTGTGTGCCAGATATTTTGGAGTGTATTGGGGTCACCAAGATCATAAAGATGAGATTTCTGACCTTGGGGAGCTCGTCTAGTAAGGGAGGCAGATCGCTGGGAATCAGGGAGGTCTGTGCGGTAGCAAGGGCACATGGGTGCGGAGGTGCTGGTAAGGAGGCTGCAGTCAGATTCATGGGGTTACAGAGGGTGGGGTGAGAAAGCCTTCTTTAAGGAAGGCTTCACTAATAGCCACCTGAGCTGGGCTTTGACATATAAATAAGAATTTGCTGATTGACAAAGTCATCAAGGGCATTTTAAGCAAACAGCCCTGTCAACTGAGGTCAGACCTGGTCCTAAAGATCTTAAACTCCCCTGTCCTTGTTGGGGGCCCTTGAAACAGACTCTTCCAGGGCACTGTATGCCATCCAGAGTGAGGAGAAGCTGCCCCTTACCCCACCTGCACTGCCAACAGTGCCTTATCACCAGCAGGGCTTGTGTATCCTGCAGAGAGTGTCACTGCTGGGGGCTGGAATGTATGCAGCTTAGTGTGCACAAGGCCACAGTTCTGTCCCCAGCACCTCAAAAGCAGCTTTAGCAGGATTGGGGACCCTGCAAGTGTGGGTGTACCAGGAGCAACAGGCAGTCTGATGCAGGAGGCCTCTGAAGCTGCTCTTTGAGCCTCTGGGGAAGCTGCACTTGATTTCATGATGAGTGGGTTCCCTGCAATCATCCCAGAGAGGTTCAAGTGCTGTGTTCCTTCTCCCAAAGGGAAACTGGCTCTGTGGCCCTAAACCCACCTGCCGCACCGCTGGTACGTTTGGACATGAATGGTGGGAGATTTATGTTTTTGGAGGGCACACTTCCTATTGCATGCTCAGAATTGCACAGAGCTGCTAATTAAATGCTTGATCATACCATGCCTTTTAAAATGTAATAGACAGCAACATATTAATAAATAAGCTCCAGTGCCCTGGAAGCTGTAGGTTGCCCTTTCCTGTTTTGTCTGCAGGCTCTACCTCTTTAGATCTTGCCATTTTTCGAGATTATAGATGAACAGTCCTATCTAATCCTTCCTCAGTTGCTCTCACCGGCCCCTTTCCCCTAACTGGAGGTACCCATGAAAGAAGCCAGAGGGTGGCTTTCCCCCAGTCACTTCCTCTGTGTCTGCTTTTCCTTCTCTGTGAGACTCTTTTTACAGGTGAAGTTACCTGGATGTGTGGCTCTGAAAAGCCATCTTAAAAGCTGTGGCACTTCTTCTTTCTCCGGAAAAAACACCAAATGGCGGATGATGCCGGTGCAGCAGGAGGGCCTGGAGGCCCCGGGGGCCCAGGCATTGGAGGCCACGGCGGCTTCCGTGGAGGCTTTGGCAGTGGCCTCTGGGGCCGCGGTAGCGGTTGTGGTCGGGGCCACGGGGCTCGTGGAGGCAAGGCTGAAGATAAGGAGTGGATCCCTGTCACCAAGCTGGGCCGCCTGGTCAAGGACATGAAGATCAAGTCTTTGGAGGAGATCTATCTTTTCTCCCTGCCCATCAAGGAGTCTGAGATTATTGACTTTTTCCTGGGGGCATCCCTCAAGGATGAGGTCTTGAGGATCATGCCTGTGCAGAAGCAGACTCGGGCTGGCCAATGCACCAGGTTTAAGGCATTTGTAGCCATTGGGGACTACAATGGTCATGTCGGGCTGGGTGTTAAGTGTTCCAAGGAGGTAGCCACTGCCATCCGAGGTGCCATAATCTTGGCCAAACTCTCCATTGTCCCTGTGCGGAGAGGCTACTGGGGGAACAAGATTGGCAAGCCTCACACTGTCCCATGCAAGGTGACAGGCCGCTGTGGTTCTGTGCTGGTCGCATCTCATCCCTGCCCCCAGGGGCACTGGCATAGTGTCGGCTCCTGTGCCCAAGAACCTACTGATGATGGCTGGTATTGATGACTGCTACACTTCAGCCAAGGGCTGCACTGCCACCCTAGGCAACTTTGCTAAGGCCACCTTTGATGCCATCTCCAAGACCTACAGCTACTTGACCCCGACCTCTGGAAAGAGACCGTGTTCTCCAAGTCTCCCTATCAGGAATTCACTGACCATCTTGTGAAAACCCACACCAGAGTGTCTGTGCAGAGGACCCAGGCTCCAGCTGTGGCTACAACATAGGATTTTTTTAAAAATATAAAAATAATAAAGTGAATTAACCCTGTTTTAAAAAAAAAAAAAAGCCGTGGCAGGTGGCACTTCCAGGATATTGCGCCAGGCTGCTGGTCCCACACCACTCAGGAGTGGCCTCAGCAGTTCTCTGGGTCTCGTCTGCCTGTTTGCCCCAGCGGATGGCTTCCAGGCCTGTTTGGGTGGACAAAATACAGTCCCATTACCTCTCAAGTGAATTTAACTCTGAATTTAACAGTCTGTGCTCAGCAAATAAGACTGCTGCCTCTGCTTCACTTGAGCCCTAAGTTCTGACGGGCATGCCACCCCTTAGTGGGAGATCATGGGCATTCTGAGGGTAACGTTTTCTGCGCAGTATTTGTATCCCAGCCGTTGGCTTTGAGACCCACCTTTCCTAAGCGGTGTCCCCATCTCTCTGAATCTCAGCATCAACCTGGCTGCAAGCCCTGCATCAGACACTTGGCGCTGAGCTGCATCTCTGCCGGCATCAGACCACTGGGGAGCTTGTGAAACAGGCGGTGCCTCCTCCGCCCTCTGTTCTGCTGCACCCAAATCTCTGGGTGGCTCCACTGCCCTGCTTCATCCAGCTCTCCAAGTGAGTCTTTGTACACTGAAGTTTGACATCGGCTCTCTTTAAGGTCTGATGATGCTCTTGCTTCAGTTCGGGCTGTGCGTCCTCGTATTTAATGCCCTAAAGCATTGCCAGCCATTTTCCCTGTGTGGAGAGGTGTGTCTAATCTGAATGCAAAATTATGCTAACCAGATCTGAAATACTGTCCTGTCTGTCTTGTCTCCCAAATTGCTAGTGGCCATGGGGCCCGGCTTTCATGCCAGTTGGTAACCTCTTTTTTTCCTCTCCTTTTTCTTAGGTATCTGTACACGTTTTAACCAAAAACACCACAGTCACAGAACAGAACCGGAATCTGCTGGTGGAGACCATCCGTTCCATTACCGAGATCCTGATTTGGGGAGATCAAAATGACAGCTCTGTGTTTGAGTAAGGCTTCCCAGTGCCTTTGTTTTCTCATTCTTCCTCTTCCTTTGAGTGTTTTTCCAAATGTGTTCCATGAGTCATTCCTGATGATGTCAGGACTTGACGCTAATTTGGTCTTGCCCAAATACCTAGTTATAGAAAATGTCCTTGGAACACTGTAGCAATGACAGCTAAACAGGAGTTGTAGAAAGCAGTGTCTCTAGAAAACCTGAAGATGTCATGGTTTAATTTCCAAGTGTGTCGGATGATCTCCCCTAAGGTAGGAGACAATGTCCTAGGTGGCCAGGTCTAAGTGAATGGAAAGGACCTTGCCCTGGGGAGCTGCTGAAGCCACCAGATAGTGTGTTTACTGAGAGCCTGGCAAGGTGCTGGGCTTTGAGGAAACAGGTAGTTTTCCTTCACCCCAGGTGCAGGTGCTTTGGGTGTCGCATTTTACTCAAGATCAAGTAGCAGGTAGATCGTGAAAGAGCAGTTCACACGCACAGCCCGGGAGGGGCTTCTCCTCATCCTCACTCTTCCTGGACAAGCAGCCCTAGGCCAGGTTTCTAGTCTCCCTGACCTCTGCTTCCTCAGCTTTAAAGAAGGAGAGCAAAGTACCCTGCCCAGTGCCTGCACAGAGCAGGCACTCAGAGATAACAGCAGGCGATAAAAATGGGTGTTGAACCAGCACGGCCTCCTCAGTACACTGTCACCGTCTTAGTGCCTGAGGATTTTCTGTTGGGTTATGACACCCAGATTGTACATGTGCGTGCATATATATGCACATATTCATTCTCAATTGTTAAATGTTGAGGCCACGTTTAAAGCCTGTTAAAAAAAAATAAAGGCGTTCCATTTCCAATCTGGCTTCTGTTAGTTATCCTGAATTGGTTTTCAGGTTAGCTCTCTGTTTTTATCAGTAAGCTTATCTATCAAAGCTCCTTGTGGAAAATGCAAACTCCTTAAATGCAAGCCTGTGACACAGGCCATGAGCCCCAAAAGAAAATGCTGGGGTTATAAAGTGAGGTGTTGCTTATACATGGGGCTAGTGCCCCCATGGGGAATTTGTTTGTATCTGGTTTTGGAAATGAGAAAGACGAAGGTTAGAGATTAAAAATTGGTTCCCCCCCCTTCCCTTACTAGAATGGACTTTCTTAGTTCATTCTAGCTTAGAAAAATTGCTGAGCACTGGGCATGGTAGCTCATGTCTGTAATCCCAGCACTCAGGAGCCTGAGGCAGGAGGATCACAAGTTTGAGGCCAGACCCTGTCTCAAAATAAAAGGAAAACTGCTGAGCTCTTGGTCCCAGTGATTCCAAAATAGCCAAACAGTGTGCCCAAGAAAACTTTGTTTTTAGTAAACTCCAGACTGGATTTCAGTTGCCAGTGCTCGCCTGGGCACCCACAATGCATTAGCCACCTTGTCTCCCAGCCTCCTGTGCTCCATGGCAGCTTCTGAGCCTTTCCGTGTTGTTTATGGCTTTGACAGTTTCGAGGGATGCTGGCCAGATGTGCTGGAGAAGGTCGGCATCTGAGCTTGTCTGCTGATCTCATTAGACCGAGGGAGGTGGGGCAGAATGCTGCAGAGGTGAAGCGCCCTTTCTTCCCCACGTGGCAGGGCGCTCAGGATCATGGTGACCTCTGTTGCCTCACCACCATGGTGTCTGCCACAGGTCTCAAAAGCTACTCTTTTCCCCTTTCCCTAAAGAGCATCCCTAAGTCTAGTCCACCTCCACCTGCCAAGATAGATAAGCTCCACCTTCTGGAAGGGCAGAGTACTTCCAAACAATATTTGCAGGTTTGCATGGATCTGTCTCTTCTCCCGCATTTGTTCATTTAGTTATCACTTCCTTATCACAATACAATCTCATGGGTATTTATCGTATACCTTGGGTAGCAATCCAATACCGCACTGTTTATCTTGTTGCTCACATTGTTCCAGCCTTGGCAACTCAGGCTTCTTTCAGGTTGGTCGCCATGTCCCTTTGATATGCTCTTGTCCTTTTGTCTTTTGAGCACTTCCTTCTTGGTACTATAAGATACTCCAGACCCACCTTGACCTTTTCCCGCACCTACCTTAGAATCAACCATTTTCCCAAGTAGTGTCCTAGTCCCCTAAGGAGTATCCAGCCACACCTACTGAGTCAACCCCTGAGCAAAACCTAGGTGCAGACATTTTGATAAGTTACCAGATTGTCACTGTGCAGCAGTAAGAGTATAGGTGATACAGGAGAGTCACTGATTTATACAACCTGAAAGGAAGGTAGACAGAATAGTCAAATGACAGAAATACTCTGGAGGTCACCGTGAGTGGTATGTATAGGCAGACAGGCTCCCAGAATCAGAGTGGGAAAGACTTCAGGATTTTTAGGTCATATTTATTTATTTATTATTTTTCCCTTTTGTCGATGCAAACAGAAGCTGTGCAGTACTGCACCAAGGTATAGGGCCCTAGTCCCTGGAGCTGACAGTAGAGGAGAGAGGCACCCAAGACTGAGCCGCCCAGCAGATGCTTATGACTGCAGAGGGCGCTCCTGAGCATCCTTGTGGCAGGCTGACCTGAGCTTGGACACACAGAGCAATAACTAGAAACATCACTTTCTTCCTTAAAGGAGGGCTATTGGGAGGTTCTGTTGCTAGCATGTACCCTCAGAAGTCAGTGCCCCCAGGCTACATGTACACCAGTGTCCTGTCCAGAGCAAGAAGGCAGAAGTAGGCTTGGAGTCTGGCTAGGGTCCCTTGCCCACACCAGCACCTTCATCTTTCCTTCCATTTCTTTTCCCTGAGCTGTGGAAACTAAACTTGATGACCTGCAGACCAGCATTCTTTCATTATTCAGCACTATCTTCCCCCTCTGCAGGGAATTCCAGTTGCTTTCTTAACACTCAAGATATTTGAGCAAAGGAAAGGGGCTGGGTGAGGATGATGGTACTGAGTGTGTGATGGGAAGTGCCCATGGGGTTTCTGAGCACAGGATCCCATTCTGCTCACCACTTCCTGGGTCAGCACTGTCCCCACCATCTGGGAAGAGTTGAAAGGCTGCATATTGATGTCCCTGGAAGGCGGAATCATGGGAGCTGGGTGGTGTGGAATCTGAGGCCAAGTGAGTGACAAGTGAGTGTGGATATACTTCTCTACAGATGCTCTTGCAGGGGCAGGTCTACATGTGTGTGTGCTGTGACTGTATCAGAGGATGACTTCATTTCCCACCTCTCAAAGCCAACTGACCCCTCCCTCTTCTCTCCCCAGCTTCTTCCTGGAGAAGAACATGTTCGTTTTCTTCTTGAACATCCTGCGGCAGAAATCGGGCCGCTATGTGTGCGTCCAGCTGCTACAGACCTTGAATATCCTCTTTGAGAACATCAGTCACGAGACCTCGCTGTGTAAGGATCACTTGATGTTGCCTCTGCCATGCCCAGTGGTTTCGTGTGTCTATGCCTACTGCGTACTCTAGTCACTCAGGCTGCCCTAGCAAGGCACTGAAGCTCGGAGTGGCTAAACAGTAGGAATTTGTTTTCTCTCTGTTCTGGAGGACAGAGCCCACATCGAAGCTGTCATCAGGGTTAGTTTCAGGTCAGATTCTTCCTGGCTTGCAGGCAGCCACTTTGTCTGTTTTCTGTTGCTCTAGCTAAATGCCTAAGACTGGGTAATTTATAAAGGAAAAAGGTTTATTGTGGCTCATGATTCTGGAGGCTGAGGAGTCCAACATTGGATAGGCACTACTTTGACTAATGGAAGAAAGTGTGAGGGCAGAAGGGCCTGTGCAAAGGAGAAAGAATGCTGGCTTTATAACAACTGCTCTTGAGAACTAGTTCAGTCCCATGGGAGTGAGAACCCCTGTGAGAAAGGCTCCACCCCGTGACCTAAACCCCCAACTAGGCCCATCTCCCAACACACCACATACAGGGATTAAGGTTCTAACACCTGAACCTTTGAGCTCACACTCAAGACTACAGCAGCCACTCAAGCAAGCAAGGCTGGGTAGGGGGTCGGGGGGATATTAATCTCTTTTATCTCTTATAGGAACACCAGGTTCATCAGATCTGGACCTTTACCACCTCATTTAACTTTAATTACCTCCTAAAAGTCCTATTTCTAAATACACTTGCATTGGGGGTGATGACTTCAGCATGAATTTGTTGGGGACACAGTTTAGTCTCAGCTCTGTGTTTACCCTGTGTGGTAGGGTACTATGAAGGGCTGAAAGGGCTCCCCTCTGCTGACTAATTCTGGGGTGTTCATGTCCTTCTATATGGTTTGATATTAAAGAGTCAGTTACTGAACCATGGGCCAACAGCATAAACACTGGAGGAGCAGGCGCCGAGAACTCGATCCAGGACCTGCTGGGGTGTGGGCTTGGATCCTCACCCTTCTGCTTCAGTTTGGCTTCCCACCTAGGGAACGTGGGCTCCTGGGCCCCGAACCTTCCCTCACTAAGCCCGGGTCATTCATCTGTGACAGCCACCCCTGAGGGAGAGGGACCCCTTGAGTTGTGAGCCCAAAGTGGCAGATCTAGTGAGGCCTAAGTAGATAAGGGGTTTCAGCCCAGGGGAGCCATCCAGTGGTCTAACTGGGGTGCTTGTGTCTCCCAGGAGGCATCAACAGCGTCTGGAGATGGGCTTGGTTTGTCATGTCCAGGTAGAGAGGGGTACTGCCTGCCCCTGGTGGGTGGGAGCTAGGATGTTCCTACACATCCTAGTGCCCAGGACATGCCCACAGAGAATAGTCCAGCCCAAGCCATGGCCAGGGCTGAGGTTGAGCAGGCCTGGCTTAGCTCCTCATGCTCCATGCATGGTCACTAGCTTTGTCATTCCAAGATGACCCTGCCAAGCCCAGGCCCTGCCAGCAAGGAGACAAGTGGCCGAATGTCTGTATCAAAAACACGTTCCCTCCTGGGACAAGCCTGAAGAAAGTGGCTGGTATGGCAGAGTGTCTCAGGTGGTAGAGCGCTTCCCTAGCAAGCATGAGGCCAAGTTCAAACCCCAGTACCACCAAACAAAAAGTGGCTGCTAGAAGGAGGTAGACATGGAGACCTTTCTTCTCTAGCCAGAGCTGCTGCATGGTGGTTTTCGACAGCAGCCGCTAGGTGGAGCTGCTGTCTCGGAGACTTTGCTCACACTTCCCATGACCACAGGCTGACAAATGTGGGCTGATTCATGTCTCCCTACGTGGTTTCCCTTGTTATCAGCTTCTTTTTTGCTGGATATGAAGCAAGTGTGGTTTCTGAACTCTGAGGAGGGAAGATCCAGCTCAGTGGCTCAAGACCAAGGAGGCAGGCGTAACCATGGTGGGGCTGACTCAGCCATACATTCCCAGGAGTGCTGGGAGGAACTAAGTCTCTGCAGGGGTACCTCTGTCCAGCTGAGATAGGAGCAGTTGATGAGGACAGTGGCTTAAGGAGTGTGCAGGAGCGTGGGAATCCGAGCTCTGCTCCAGGCCTGGCAGGCATCTGTAGCATTGGTTTTATCATTTAGTGCAGTGTGTCCTCATGTCCTGTCTCCCGTTGCCCTTTCTAAGCCCAGCTCGATATAGGACTATGGTATTAAAGATGGGCTTTATTTAAAAATCCCCACTTTTATTGTATATATTTAAGGGTAGAACTTGATGATTTGATATATTGTATATTGAAATCGTCACCACAATCAGCCTAATTAATATTTATCACCTCACCGACTTAGTTTTTAGAGTGTGCTGAGAACACCCAGGATCTACTCTTAGCAAATTTCAAGTGTCTAATACAGTATTGTGACCAATAGTCACTATGCTATACTGTATATATCCAGAATTCAGCAGTTTGCAAATCCAAAGCTTTATACCTTTGACCAACATCTCCCCGTTTCCCCTTCCCGCAGCACCTGGTAACCAGTTCCGCCCTCTGCTTCTGTGAGTTTGATGATTTTAGATTCTACACACAGTGATCATGCAGTGTGCATGGCTTTGCTTGCTTTCCCTCCCTCCCTCCCTCCCTTCCTTACCCCCTTCTGACTTCCCTTCCTATCCCTCTCTCTTCCTTCCTTCCTCCCACCCTCCCTCCTTTCCTTCTTTTTTGTAGGGTCTTGCTATGTAGCCCAGGCTGGCCTTGAACTCATGAGCCTCCTGGGATTACAAGCATGTGCCACTGTGCCTGGCTATAGCTTTTCTTGTACTGGGACCAAAGAGGGTGCCTTGCTGTGAGAAACACAGCAAGTGCCCTGTGATTTACAGCCCATCCATACGGACACTTTTAAAAGCCCTGTAAATCAGCAGAAATCACTGCCTGTTCACAAAACTTGTTTTTGTAAAGGAGGAGGAGAGGTAACCTTTGTCTTTATTTTTATTTTCTAATCATGGAAAGAAACTGTTTTCACAGTAACATAATAGAACACAAACATGCACAGGTGCAGAAAGTCGATTTCCTGAGGACCTCACTGGTTGGCGCCAGGTGCTGTTCCCACCTTCCCAGCCATTTCTGATCTCCTCCTGTTCTCCCTGTGTCCTCCCTGCTTTGGTGTGCCAGCTGTGTCTGGCTGTGCCATGGTGGATTTACCTGACCATGAGCCTTTAGGGGCTTTCCAGTTTTTCATTATTACAAGCAGCCATCGCCCGAACGCATCTGTTGCCTGTTGATTTGATGACCTAAGTGACAGAGGCCCGAGAGACTGAGATTACTTACAGACTCCTGGGTTCATTACAAAGGATGCCACAGGAAGTCAGGCACATGGTGAGGGGATAGTAGAAAAATCCCAGCCAAATGACAGAGGCCCCTCCTCTGCCCCACAGTGGTCTCCCAACACCCACAGAGTCATCTCTTGGAGGCCCTGGAAAAGTCCCTTCAGGGAGCTCCAGGTTCCTAGTGCAGCTGAGACACTCAGGGCTCGCTTCTGAAGCACCGCATAGCATCTGTGCCGTTGGCAGCCTGGAAGCCACCGCAGCCACCCCAGGTCTCAATAAGATGCTGGCATTCTCTTCTTCTGTCAGTCTGTGGCCCCCGTCCACAGGCAGGACAACTGAGGGAACAGAAGCGCTCCAGTAGATCCTGTGGATTGGCACATTGTGGACTATTCAAAGAATGGAATTCTGGACAGCTGTTGGGATGAAGGACAGCAGCCATGCCCAGCAGTGTGGGTGACTGACCCTCAGGTGTGAAGAGCCAGCAAGTGAGGCCAGGCACAGGCAACACATTCTGTCTGCCTCTGGTACACAAGGTTCAAGAGCAGGCACACTGGTGATGGGCGTGAGAAGGGGCCTGCCTGCGGGAAGGTGCTGGTGGGCAGGGGTGTGAGGGAGCTTTTGAAAGCAGCAGAGGTAATGGCCCGTCGAGGTGGGGCCTGGTGATGTGCATGCAGTCACATTCATCATGCTGGATGCCCATGCCTTCTGGGGCCTGTGTACATGGGCTGGAGATACCTCAGGTGTCAAGCTGTGCCCTTGGCATTTATGACAGATGTGACCTCATTTTAAAAAGCATTGGATTGAGATGTTTAGAACTACCATCCCAGACCCTGACTTCTCTTGCAGTGGGCCCTGAGAGCTGCTTAGGAGCAGAGATTCTGGAAACTTCCTCTAAGGCCACTGTCTGCTGAGCCTGCTCAGAGAATGCACAGTGGCCTCCCGGAGAATTGGTTGCTAAGGAGACCCAGCCAGGAAACCACAAAGGGCTGCTGTCCTGTGCAGGGCCCCTGTGTGGCTCCTGGTGTAGCTCTCTGATCTCAGAGAGAACATCCAGGAATACTGCAGTAGCCTAAGTTAGGTCCCCAATCCCCTGCTGGACTGTTTTCTGCTCTCCGTCCTGGAGAGTCCTGAGAGGAGTCATGCATCCTTGCCCTCGATGCTGCCTGTGCCCACACTGTCCCAAGTGCTCTGCACGTGAGCCCCTGTAATCCTCACAGCGAAGTTCCTGCACTTGTCTCGACACCTGGAAACACCTGGGGAGGAGGATGGTGAGGGTGGCTAGACAGTGGCAAGATTGGACCTGGCAGTGAGGGTCTGAGTCTGTCTGCATCCAGTGCCTCAGGAACAGGGGTTTGTGTGGGAAAACTCATGGGCCCTACGAGGCCCAGCATCTGCCAGTGTGTTTGGCTCCAGGGGATGCTGGTCGGAGGACCGGGTTCTGACCCACACTACTCTCTGTCTCCCTGTAGGGTATGGCCCACCATGTCCTGCCTCTGACCCTCTGGGGAGGCATGGGGTGGGGGGAGGCTGGAGCAGCAGCACCTGTTTTAAGGTGGCAGTGAGGACTTGGAACGTGTCCAGCAAGGGCCTGACCCTGAGATTCCAGACTTCAGGCCACATGCCTGCAGTTTTTTCTGGTTGATGCCTTGGCAGTGCTTTAAAGAAAGGAGCTGTGGCATTAAGATCTGTTTGCAGCTCTCCTCCCACAGTTGGACGCTCTTGCTCTCGCCATGCAAGGTCTGCATTTCCACAGGGCCCAGGGGCCCAGAGCTGGGTGGGGGTGGGGCTGCTTTCTAGTTGGCCCTGGTGCCCTCAGGCCCTCCGTACCCCATTTTCATTGTCAGCCCCATCGTGCAGGGCAGATGCAGGCTCCCACATTGAGCCCGAATTTGAATTCCTTCCCTGTGACCTCAGGCAAGTTAATAAACTTCTCTGAGCTCTTTTTTACCAGGTTGCAAAATGGTAAGGCTGAACCCTTCTCTACAGTGTCATGGTGACTGTGGATTATACTATGAACATTCAGAATAAAGTGACCCCAACAAAATCATGTTGCTACATGGGAGGAAAATGCGTGTGCAGCCCTTTATGGCCTTCAGGGATGACCATGTGACTTTTGATGGTCAAGAGAAACCCCCACCTCAGGCAGCCTCCCCTGCCTCCCAGCTCTGCTGATCTTTTCTAGCTACAAAAAGGAACCTTCACTGGGTTTTTTTTTTTTTTTTTTCTGGCTGTACAAGGGCAGGGCCAGGCTTTCCTCTGGCATTGTCTTTGAACTTTGTGTGCAAAAGGTGATTTCTTTGCAGGTTAAGTTCAACTGCCCATTTGTTGAACGCCTGCTCTGGAACCTGAGCGGATTGAGCCTATTTTTGTGGTCCTCTCTGTTTCCCTGCTTGTCTCTGGCTGACCCACTGTTTTGCTGTGTTTCTCCTTCTAGATTATTTACTGTCTAATAACTACGTCAATTCCATCATTGTCCACAAGTTTGACTTCTCCGATGAGGAGGTTATGGCATACTACATCTCGTTCCTGAAGACGCTTTCACTGAAGCTCAACGACCACACTGTCCATTTCTTCTACAATGAGGTAAGCGGTGGCCAGGCCTGTCACAGCGCGCCTCCTGCCGCACGCACGCACGCATACGCTCGCTGTCACGGTTTCCAGTAGTACCGTGTGACTGTGCATGCTTTAACATTGTTTAACTCAACAAGTCACCTTTTCATTTTAATGGGAAATTCAGCGTGTGCTGACAGCACTATATGTAGCAGGGAGGAGAAGTCCACGAGATGTCCTGGGGTAGTGTTGCCCTGTAGGAAAACAGGAACTCTGTTCAGACCTGGCTTTGCTGCTTCCTTGCTTCAAGGTCTTGAGGAACTTCCATTCCCTCTTTGAGCCTCAGTTTCCTCATCTGAGAAGTGGGGTTAAATATTACATACTTTGTAGGATTTTCAGGGGTCAAGTTGAGTGAGATGATGTCATCAGGCATCTATGGGTACCTCAGCCCCTAAAATGTCAGACGTGCTGTTCTCTACAAGCTAATGTCCTGCTTGCTGTTCCTTGGGAGAATTATTAGCCGTTTAAATAAATAAATCTCTGCTGCACTCATGATTGGAAGGTCAGTGTGTCTCCTACACTAAAATACATATATACAACGCTGGCTGTATTGGGGCTAGATCATCCTGTGGCTTGGCCACAGCATCAAAGACCAAGGCTTTTCTGTTTTCCTGCTCTGTGATTGTGCAGTTGGTTCAGCCCACATGGTCACAGGATGGCTGCAGCAGCTCCAAACATTACGTTCTCACACGTTACTGCCAGAATTTCTGATGAGATCACTTCCCTTCTATGTCTCTTTTTGACTTCCAAAATACTTTCTCAGTAGTCTCCCACCAGACTTCCTCTCCTGCCTGACAGGTCAGAATTGCATCACATTCCTCCGGTGGGTCTGGTATTAGGGATTAGCCTTGCAGGACTGTTCTGGCACAGTCTCCAAGAAGGCTAACGTCCTCTGACCCCTAGAGTAAGCCATCTAAGAGCCCAAGGCAAACTGCAGTGCCTCCTGTGGTCCAGCCTGAGAATTCACACGGCATCACTTCACCATATTCTTTGGTCACACAGGCCAGCTCTGACTTAGTGTGGGAGGGGACATTGAGAGTGTGTGAACACAGGGCAAGTGTCTTTGGGACCATCTTGGAGGCTAGTCACCCAAGTATAGGCTGTTTGCATGGCAGATGTCTTCTGACTGGTGGTCATGCACATTCACTCCTGTGTTTGAAGTCAGACCATGTCCCAGATGTATCCTCTGAGTTCATTTGTCCCTGGTGGTGTGACAACAGCAGCCTGAGCCGGATTTGAAGTGTTTAGTGGCAGGGAAGAGATGGTCTCAGGGGAAAGAATGTGACTACCTCTCAACCACATCATGTGGTCTACAGTGAACACTGGGCCAGTAGCAGGCACACAGGTAGGTTCTCAATAAACCCATCCAGAGGACGGATGGACGCCCAGAGGCTCTCCCAGGCGGAAGAGAGCTGCCTGTGAGGCTCAGAGCAGGGTGAAGGACAGATTCTTCCCCTGCAGGGCTTCTGAGCTCCAAGCTGGAAGGACCAGAGGCCCTCCTGCTAATCATCACAGGAGTGGCTGGGGCCTTTTCTTCTTTTGAGGTGGACTTGATTTCCTCTTTAATGTGAGCCAGTAGACACTTGATAGGTGCCTACTTGACTCCAAGTAGGGCGTCCTTATGAGGGGTGTCACCTGTACCCCTCTACCTCCTTAGCTTGGAGGGGCTGGCCTGGAAGACACCCTCCCTCCCTGCGTCTTCTTGGCTGTGGGTGCCTTCAGTGTGGAGCCCAGAGCCATGTGAATGCTTTGGCCACAGGAGGGCAGCAGAGTCCACCCTGTAGCTCCTGGTCCAGCGCAGGATGTTCTCTCCTTAGATTTCAGGGGGTTCCCTTCTCGTTGTCCCTTTGTGACAGCTCTCTTTTCTTCCGTGACAGGGTTTGTACTTTCAGTATTTCCAGACAGAGAACAGTGCAGAACTAAGTAAAACTGTACCTTTTATTAGTTGAGCAGCACCCCCTCCAGTACTGCTTAGGTGTCAGATGCTGGGTTAAGCACTGGACTGGATATGGTCTCATTTAACCCTACAATTAATAAAGTGAGTGTTATAACCCCATTTTACAGACCCGTAATCAGAGGCTTAGAAATAAATGCTCCTTACACAGCCAAGAAGTGGTTGCATAGGTACAGAGTCCAAGTCTGACATTCTCTTACCCTTTGACGTTCTCTTACCCTTTCCCTTTTCTTCTGTGGCCCCGCCTCCCCTTCCTTCCCACACTCCCCATAAGGAACGAAGCACTGGCTGCAGGTTCACTGTGGCAAGGTTCTTTTTCTTTTTCTTCTACTGCAGCCTGATGGATTTCAGAAAGCCACAGGGTGGTGGGGAGGTCAGGCCCTCCTTAGGGAGTTGTAACGTTTTGGTACCCCTCTTGTTTTAGCACACCAACGACTTTGCCCTCTACACAGAAGCCATCAAGTTTTTCAATCACCCTGAAAGCATGGTTCGAATTGCTGTGAGAACCATAACTCTGAATGTCTATAAAGGTAAGTTTCTCTCCGAGCGCCTGCTTTCCGACTCGGCCGCAAGTGCTCGCTCCCTTGGTCCATGTGTACTCAGAGTGATAGGGAGCTCACTTGTTAGAAGCCACATTGCTCATCTCCCCAAAGACCCGCACTCACCAAACACACAGCTGGTCTCACCTTCTCCTTGCATGCTATGCAGAAGTCAAATGTCCCACTCTGAATAGGATTCAGAGTGGCCATGTTAGAACTAGATAAAGTAGAGATGTCTTTTAAATGTTAGATTTTAATTTTTGTGTTTTGGCTTGTAAAAGGATTTTATCTTTACGTAATGTGCAAAACTGTTTCACACCACGACCAGCAGGGGCAGTATAGTATTCCCAACCAGCCACAAAGGCCTTTGCACACTGCCTCCTGAAAGCAGGGGTGCAAAGACTGGCTGCCCACACACTTCCAGAACTGGAATTACCCCTCCCAGTTATATTCTGGAAGTTTTCTACCTAATGCCTGGTTAATTCCCTGTGGCCACCATTGTTTCAGGAATTGGTTTTCATGAATCAGTGACCTTCAATCGGGGATGGGGAAGGGGCTCCTTGGGCTCATGTCAGCCTTGGTGTGGGATGACATTAAATTTAAGGGCCTTGGGCTGGTGGAGTGGTTCAAATGATAAGAGCACCTGCCTAGCAAGTGTAAGGCCCTGAATTCAAACCCCAGTGCTGCCAAAATAAATAAAATAAATGTAAGGGCCTAAGAGCCCAGTGGGCCCATCCAGAGGTTGTAAACCAAGGGCCTGCAGGCTGAATCGAGCCCCTGGAAATGTTTTAATTGGCTTAGATGGTTTTGAAAAAAAGATGCAGTTGCCAATATTTAAAAATGAGGAAATCTCCATGACAATGTGGAGTTTTGACTTGAGGATGTAGATCTGGCTGTTCTGGGCCAGCATGGTCCTGCAGAGCAGGGTCAGGGCCCCAGCTCCCAATCTACACTAGGACCTATTGGTTTTAGTCACTGGGTCGCCAGCCCACCCCGGTCCGAGCCACAGTCGCTCCCACTACCCTCCACCCTCCGCCCTCCATTTTCTCTCGCGCTCTTCTGACCCATGTCTTTGGGTTTAGATGTCTCCTGCCCCAGTTCTCCACCCCTCTGGGCCACTGCCTCACCTTCCCAGTTCCTAACCCTGTTAACTGTTGTCTGTTTTTTCCTCTCCTTCAATGACGACTCCTGTTCCTTATTCCAGTGTCATGTAAGTTATTAACCTCTGGTTTTCCGCTTTCTTAACCTACCCTTACCCATAAATTCAGGGAACTTGCTTGTGAATGCTATGGGTCTCACTGTAGTGCCATGTAGTCCCCTGATGAGAACCAGCCTCTCCCATGCACTACAGCTGTTTAGCCCTCTCATTCAGTTTATTAGCTGTAAGAATAGCATGAGAATTGCTGCAATGAGTGTAGTTTTATGAATAAGTTAAACATCTCCAAGTATTTCCAGGAAAGACAGACAATTCCAGGTTATAGCCAGACTTTTTCATTGTGGTTTGTTGGTTTTTTTTTTTTTTTTTTTTTAATTTCCCCGAAGTTATTTTTGGTAGCTTGACATTTTTTTTCTTTTGTGAATTTTCCCAGTGGATAACCAGGCCATGCTACACTATATCAGAGATAAAACTGCTGTCCCTTACTTCTCCAATTTGGTCTGGTTCATTGGGAGCCATGTGATCGAACTCGACACCTGTGTGCAGACTGACGAGGAGTAAGTGACACCAGAGCTTGGGGGGGTAGGGGAGAAGTCGTTGTCCACAGAGGAAAAGTACAGATGAGAACAGCCCTCACCTGCCTGTGTTTAGTTAGAGCGGGGTTCTACCCACCTGTGTAGGACACGTGCCTTCCGGAGGGTGACAGGGAACAGTGCACCTATAGATGGGACCGCTCAGCGGTGGGAGAGATCGGAGTGAATGAATAATCAAAGTGGGAGCTGTCCACACAGTGGAGTGCCACTCAGCAATAATAGTAATAAGGCAGGATGGAGTGAGTGCAGAGCCTCAAAAAACTGTGCCAAGAAAAGAGCAGACGTGAAGCACTTCGTGTCATATGACTTCATTTGTGTGAAATACCCAGAATAGGCAAATCTAGAGACAGTACAGATGAGTGGTTTCCTGCTGGGGGTGCAGTATGGGAGTTGGGGGGGTGGAAGCCACTGCTAATAAGCCATTGCTTTTAGCAGCTGGGATAAAAATGGTCTCAAATTGATCATGATGATGGTGGACAATTCTGAGCATACTAAAAACCAGCTAAAGACACTACACATCTGGTTGGGGATGTAGCTCAGGGTAGAGTGCTTGCCTATGATAGGTGAGGCCCTGGGTTCAATTTCCAGCCCCACAAAAAGTGTTAAAAATGCTTAGAACTTTAAAAAGCTTGTATTTTAAAAGTGGTGAGTTTTATGGTATGTGAATTATGCCTCAGTAAATCTGTTTAGAAGATATTTAAGATGGTGATTTTTGTCATTGGTGATAATTTCCCACAGCAGGATTTCTCCTCCTTGGCACTATTGACCTTCTGAACTCGGCACTTCCTTGCTGTGGGCTGTCCGTCCTATGCACTGTAGGGTGTTTAGCAGTGTCCCTGGCCTCCATCCACTAGAGGCCAATGGCACTCCTTCCCAGGCAGAACAGCCCAGAGTGTCTCCAGATATCGCCAACGTCTCCTTGAAGGAAAAGTCACCCTCAGTTGAGAAGCACTACCCCAGAACAACAGCTTTGCCTAGGCCTGGACAGAGGACACCTGGCCAGAATCAGGAAAGGAGGTCTCCCGGGGGAGAGGAGCTAGACAGCTACACTCGCAGATAGACACTGGGCAAGAAGCAGGGCCAGTAGAGGGCTGAGTTGACTGGGCATTTGGGGAAATAAGAAAGTCCCAGATATGAGACCTAGTGAGACACTTCCCTCTGCAGAGGGCAAAGCTGTACGAGGAAGGACATAAGGACATGCACTTGGCTCTGCAAGGAGCGGTTCTGATAACTACTGTTGGGGAAGGGCTGGATGGGACATGAGGAGTTGTGTCACCAGAGGAGGTCAAGAGATAGTATCTAAAAAGGCCCATTGCAGAACAGAAGTCAGTGCAGATGGTGGAGAAGTAGGGAGGAGGTGGACACAAACTACCAGAACTGAAACCTGCCTCCCCTGGGACGGGAGTTGCTGTTGTCCCTTGTCAGCTGATCAGTACTATTTGAGTTTTAAACCTGTGTGCATACATGACTTTGATAACATTTTTAAACTAAAGAATGTAAAAGTGAGGTTTGTTAGGTACCCTACTGAAGAAACATTTGCACAGTATGTTACTAAGACTAGCTGTGGAAATCACATATGTGCGCTATAGGTCTCGGTGATGGGGGTCACAGGCGCTCATTATAGTCAGTCTTTGCATGTAAATTTGTTAGTGGTATTTCTAAAGATCTTATTAAAGTACAGTGAGGACAGCTAACCCAAATTATATAAAGAAGCCAAGTTGGTCCTGCACTTACTCTCTTGAAGCAGGGGGGCCAGATGGCTAGCAGTTCAGATTGACCTAGGGAGAGGTAAAAACAGACTGTCAGGCAGAAGTCCCAAAACATTAGCAGTGGACACTGTTACTAGTGTTACAAGGGACCTTTTCTTTTTCTTGCTTGCTTTATTTTCTTTTTAAATCTTCTGTCTTTTGAAGTAGCCATCCGTAATAACTTGAATAATAACAATGACGATACAAACAACACCTTAGCCTAGCTAGATTGCTGTTGGCCATCTCTACCCACTTGAGGGTGGCAAAGGTGTGTCCCTGGCTGCTTTGATTCTGTCCTTCTGGAGTGTGAGACTGACAGCGCCCAGGAACCCCAAACATCATGGCTGTTCTGTAAAGACACAGACACCTCCCGCCCAGGCCTGGGGACGGGGTGTTTGTCCTAGCTTTGTATCCCACATGTGGTCAGGCTGCATGCCACATGTGGCTGCTGAGTAAACCCTGCTTCTCTCTTCAGAACTCCTACAGCATGTTAATTGGTGAGGATTTATGGCTCCATTACTACCACTTATCTGGGAGCCAGGGGATCTCGCCACATTGGCTGGTGGTGGCTCTTGTGCAATGGCTTATTACAGGAGCTTAGCTGCTCCTTGCTTTGCTTACTCTGTTTGTTTGGAGGTGTAGTTGAGGGTGGCTTGTACCAAGGCCCTCAGAGGATGGGTTGCACTGAATCATTTTCCTTTTGTGTATCTGCCAAGTTGGGGCAGGAGAGTGGTCTCAGGAGTGAGACTAGCTCAGATATTGGGTGTGTGAGTGAGCGGGCCTCCAGCCATCTAAGTGTCAGGTCCAAATCTCAGAATTTAGGTCCAAAGCCTCTGAGCTCTGGCCTCCAGGCTGAGCTGGCCATCTCTCATGGCAGGCACCGGAATCGGGGGAAGCTGAGCGACCTGGTGGCTGAGCATCTGGATCACTTGCACTATCTCAATGACATCCTGATCATCAAGTGCGAGTTCCTCAATGACGTGCTCACTGACCACCTGCTCAACCGGCTCTTCCTGCCACTCTACGTGTACTCACTGGAGAACCCAGACAAGGTGGGTCTGTGACCTGGCCTGCTGCGCCTCTGGTGTCTTGGGGGCCAGGGGAGCCCTGGCCTTGACCAGGGCTGACTGTGCTTGAGGGTGGGGCCTTTCACAGCCCACTGGCTCTCCTCCCCTCCCTCTTCCTTAGAAAGAGGGACTATGAAAATGACTGAGCAACATAGGATTCCTGACATCAGCCAAAGCAGGAAATCATGCAAATTCAGGGGTTTGCTTTCTGCACACCCTTCCCTGAGGTGTTCTCATCCCGGGCAGCCTTTTCTGATAGTTACCAGAGTTAATTGTTTTGGAGAAGAGCCAGGCAGCAACACAACTCACAAGAAGTAGATGGGAAGGATTCCAGTCACAGTTGTCAACAGGTCACAGGCCTTAGTCCTTGGTGAGGATAGATGGAGACATGTGGCTCCATGGGTAACCTCCTGCCCTCTGGGATTTTACTTCAGCAGGTCTGGGGTGGGACCAGAAATCTGTGTATTTTACTTGCTCTGAGGTGACTCTAAGCAGCTGGTTCTGGGATCCCTTGGGAGGCCTCTGTCCTTCCCTGCAGAGTCAAGGGGGCTGGGGCGTGGGAGGGAAAGAGAGAGAGAGAGAGAGAGAGAGAGAGAGAGCAAGCGCACACGAGCAAGCTGAGTAGGAGTCAAGATAGCAGATGTGTCCTAAGGGAATGTCATCTATTTGGAGATGGAATGTGAGGTTTCTTGCCACAACAGGTAAATATGTTAGAAGTTGCAATCCTAATTAGCTCTACCCATGCAGCTAAGGGAGACATCAAGAAAGCTTGGGGATTGGAGTCCAATCTCCGCCTCTTCCCTTTCCTAAGCCTTCAGCCTTGGCCAAGGCAATAATGTCCTGAACCTGTCTCTTCACCTGCAAAACGAGGCTCTAATGGTCCTCTCGTGTGGCTGGTGAGAGACAGGGCATCGTGAAGCCCCATCCATGTGAGTAGCTGCTTTGAGGCCAGAGACCCCAAACTTCCCCCTCCTGAGCACAAGTGTCTGGGGGAACCTCTTCTTTGGGGCCCTCAGTGCCCAGCGGGGAAAAGCAATGCTCCTGGTGACTTCTGGAGCCAGCCCCTCTTGGGTCAGCTGCCAAGCTAGGACTGCGGGTGAAGGATTTCTCAGGGGACAAGCAGTAGCCTCCAAACGTTGCGTAATCAGGTCATGCCTGTCTTTTAGAGTGAACAGTTGACTAACACCAGGAAAGCGCAGCTTTGTGGGGAAGGGCTTGTCAGGGGCCAGGGCACCTCTTCAAACTGATGGCTTTTGGTGTCATGCATTTTCTGTGGCTCCCTTTTGTGACCTGGAACCCTCTCTTTCCTCCAACCTTTACTAGGGAGGAGAACGACCGAAAATCAGCCTGCCAGTGTCCCTCTATCTTCTGTCACAGGTATGTTTCCACTCATCAGGGTCCCCAGCCCTTTTGGGGTCTTGTGGTACGCCTAGGCCACATTGCCTGTCTCTGTGTCTCCACCTTGAAATAAAATCATAGTCAGAAGAAAGGGCATTCTGTTTTCCTGTTAGAGATGGCTGTACCTTCTTCATGGCAGGGATGGAAATTTAAAGAGAAATGAAAAATAAATCAAACCTGGCACTTGTGTAGTTGATTTTTCTGTGGAGACCACGGTTTCTAAAACAGCCAGAGTGTTCTCCATACTCTGGAAATGTGGGGTCCTGGCTCTTATTCACAGTATTTTGGAATAAGCCCCAACTGCTGGACCACAGCCTGCACACATGCAATGGCCTTGGTTTAACAACGTTCTTGCAGTGAGGCTATTTTTAAAGGGTTTTGTTGTGGTTTTACTTCCCAGATTATCTTCTGAGAGGAATCTTGCAGTAACCTCAGCACCCAGATTTGTGACACTAGCCAGTTTGTCTGCCTCCCCTCCTTAAACAACTGTGCTTCCTTTTTGTAATTATGTAGCATTTACAAGAAGGGAAAAACTCCATGGCGACTCAGTTACATAACTTCAAAAATATTTTTATTGCTTGAGGACCAGACTCACAGGCCATCTCATCAGACTGTCAAGTAGTCAGACATTCACCCAGAGCTCTGCTCTACTTTGGCGGTTGCAGCAATACTGATTTGCTTGGACAAGAGGCTGGTCTCCCAACTGGATCTCCTGCCGTTTTGAGTTTGGGGTGAGGTTGACTCCCACTGGCCCAAGAAGAGAGCCTGAGGCCCTGCCTCTCCCAGCTGTAGGTCAACTGGGATCCTGAAGTGCCTGACCACTGCTCTGCTCACATCCGGAGCCTGTTCTGGAGGCTCTGTTTACTCAGAGCTCTGCATGGTGCTCACTCTGTCTGAATGCCCTTCTGTGTGCTGGAGCTCAGCATAACCCCAGTTCTCCTGGCAGCTTTTTCTGCATCTCTTGCCGGGGATTCTGGGAAGTTGGCAGGACCTGAGTGGGACAGCTGCTCAGCCACAGTAATCCTGCAGAAAGCATCCTCAGGAACCCCACCTATTAGAGCAGTGCATGACTTCTCTGAGGAGTATGGCTCATAGCCATCCCTTTGCTGAGGAGAGCTTTGCCTGTTCTCTTATTGAAGGACCAATAGCATGGGTTCCTCATTATTTCACTATGCTTATCTTGCAAAAAAGCATAGTTTGTAATTCAGCCTGGTGCAGTGGCTCAGGCCTATAATCCTAGCTATTTGGGAGACAGAGATCCGGAGGCTCGTGCTTTGAGGCCAGCCTGGGCAAAAAGCTCATGAGTCCCCATTTCAACTAATGGCTAGGTGTGGTAGCACGTACCTGTCATCCTAGCTAGTGGAGAAGCATAAATAGGATCGTGGTTCAGGTTGGTATGGTCATAAAAGTGAGGCTTTATCTCAAAATAACCAACATTAAAAGGGCTGTTGAGTGGCTCAAGTGGGATAAGTGCCTGCATAGCAAGCACGAGGCCCTGAACCACCACTACCACCAAAAAAAAAGACCTCTTTTAAAGACTAAAGTCTTGAGCCCTTCTTCCCCTTCTTCCACATTTAGCTTCATGTGGCCTAAATGTGTAAAAACTTTACACATGAACCCATGAAAAGTCACATTAGTGGTGTTACTTAAGTGTGATGACTGCTGCTTTCCCATGAGACTAAACTGCCTCCCACACTGAGCATGGTGTGGACAGCCCTGCCCAGCTCTTCAGTGGGGGTCTGGGCACATGGTCACATACCCTCTGTGATGATCGCTCCATTCTCCCGGTCCAGAGCCATGAAGGTGAGCACTGCACATAGGCAAGAGTCTGTCCACAGTAGAAACGATGGGCCTTTGTCTGGGAGGGGCCTTAGGACGAATGCTTATGGACTGAATAAAGGAGTGAATTTGTCACATTCACACAGAGTGCGTGGGAGATGGCTGTGGAGTGAATGAATTCAGTGATGGGCTGCCTTGGGCCTGAGCATAGTGTGGCAGTAACTTGGCTGTAATGAAGGTGAGAAAGATCATCACCATCATGGCTGCCGTTGAGCACATGCCCCAACTCTGTGCTGGGTTAACACAGTTCACCAGAACAGATGCATGGTCTCTGGGCTGGTACAGCCTCCTGGTATTTTAAAGACAGATTGCCCCCATCCTTTGTCAGGTTGATGTCACACTTGTCTTCTCTGCTTGTACATGCATTCAATCTGAATTATATTATTTGAATAATACTCCCCTCCCAACAGCATAAGCATGGGGAGAAGTCTCCCTGATAGGGATAACCAGTCGGTTTCTGTCTTTACTTTACATAAAAAAGTTTTTCAAGTTAAAAATTTCAACTGGGGGAAAACCCCGTTTTCTTTCTTTTTATCAAGTTCAGGTTTCTGGTTTTTCTCTGTCCCCATATACAACTATGGTTACAGGGTTTCTTCCAGAGTTTTCTACCAGCTGTTCTCAGCCAGCGTATTGGGCAAGTGTGGAGATGTGTTTGGATGTCATGACTGAGGAGGGGGTGCCCTGCCCCGCCGTGGGGAGAGGTCAGGGATGCTCCCGAGCACACATAGGACAGCCCTGCGGCAAAGCATCAGAGCTGAGTGTCACTAGTACCAACGTGGTAAACTCTGTTCTCTGCGTGTATAAATGAGCAAGTACATTGTGCACACACACACACGCTTGTATATAGATACACTGCCTTTATATTTTAAAACAAGGGAACAGGTAAGTGTGTCTACACTGCCAGCTCCACAGGTCCGTCCTGGGCCCCCTGATTCCTAATGTTGCTCCTTTGAACACTGGCAGCGGATTGGGTAGCAGGGCCACAGACAGCTCAGTCCTTCTCTTTTGCCTCCTGGCACAGCTGTGTTGGCCTCTGGCTCTTACGACTTTTCTTCCCCAGTTTCCATACCCGTGACACTGCCATGGAGTTCCAGCAGGCTAAAAATCCACTGCAGGGGCTGGAGCATTTCCAGTGACCAGATTTCCATATGCTACCCCTTTGCCATCCCTTGTTTGGAGCAGAACTTACTACCCCCTTCTTCCCACAGAAGGAAAGTACTGGGATGGTGCCTTTTAGTCTTATCAGAGTCGAATTTGATACTAGCATGCCTAGGGAAAGGAAGGCATGTGCTAGTTTGGCTGTTCCTTTCACCCATTGCTCCACTTCAGGCAGAGTTGGCTTCGCTCAGCCATGAGGGATGGTCTGGCCCTATGCACTTCCTTCCAAGGAAGAGCAGCCTGCCAAATAGGCAAGAGTCTGGAGGAGAGGCCAACCTTTGAGAGGAGAGGAGCTGATTTCTCCTGGATATGACTTTTCCCTCGGACTCACCAAGCCCAGCCTGGGTGTCTCTGATTGGGAAGGAGGAGGTAGAGAGACTGCACTCTTTCATGCTAACCCCTTTCTTCTTTCTCACCAGGTCTTCCTCATCATCCACCATGCCCCGCTGGTGAACTCGCTGGCCGAAGTCATCCTGAATGGCGATCTGTCTGAGACGTACCCTAAGCCTGTACAGGATGTTCAGCGGAGTTCTGTAAGTCAGTAGCTTTAGGGCTATGTTTCACCGTGATAAGAAGCCATTCATTGTCTGTTTGGTTAATCAATGGGACTCTCAAGTCAGAAACCATCATTCTGCTTGTGGAGCCACAATGATGCACAAGCCATTTGCGAATTCAGAGAGCCTGGTCCGAGGCTTAAAGCGCACATATGCCCTGGAGAGTCTGGGTCAGCTGTTACCAGTGGATTTGATTGACAGGAACTGTACTACTCTGGGCCTCAAATCATGTACCTGTGAGGCATTATTCCTGGGCAGGGTGAGAGATGAGAGGATGCCCTCTCTAAGGCACAGATATCTACAGCAGTTGGGCAGTGACCATTTATAAATGATGCTGGCCTGTGGGAGGGCAGTGGGGAGTCCCGGGGACCATGGCAAACAGAGCTCTTACCTCCTTTGCATGCAGCTGCTGTTCCACCTGGCCTACAGTTCTGCAGGAAGACAGATATAGTTATTGCCAGGTCTCCTCCTGTTTCCAGAGAAGGTGGAAATCTGCATTTTTGTGAAAAATCTCTCATGTTTTAGATTATCATCAAACTATAGATGAAGGCAAGCTTATTTGTGATATGCAGGAGCTTGGAGTTACATGTCACACACTGATGAAAGAAAACGCCTGATGGCTGGGGCTATGACTTCTCCAAGTCCCCCCCTTGTCCCCTGTGCTTCTTTGCTATCATCCCTCTTACCAGCCTGCTCAGGTGTCCTGAGCTCTAGGCTGCCTGGGTAACTGGCCCAACCCATTCTTCTCCCACCTGTCCTGTGCTTCTGCCTTGGTACCTGTGTCCTCACCATACCCACACCTGGAAGTGCTTGTGCTTGCTTCTCCCGATCAGAGATCCTATTTTGTGGCCAGAATTGTGTCTGTTGTTGAATTGGCTGCAGCCTGCGCCTGGTGCACACATCTGAGATGAGCACGGAGCATTGTGTACAAAGGCTGTTTGATGAGGCCCTGTCTCTGGGTGCTGGGCCTGAGCTGTCCAGGGCAGTACCTGCATTGCCGTATGCATGGGTGGAATGTGATCCTACAGATGAAGGGCCATCGCTTCAGGTTATTCAGTTGCAAGAGGCCCCTGTCCGTCTGGTTTTTCAGGTGTGCCATGGTCTGGCCAGGCCATTTTGCTGTTTTGGGTGAGCACTAAGGCCCCTAGAAAAGTTCCCAGAACCTTTCTCTCCTTGGTGGCAGTGGCATTGTTCAGTGGAATTGAATGGGCCTTTTCCTGGCTTGGCCTGTTCTGGACTCATTGAACAAGTGTTTAACAAGCCCTTTCTTTGGGTTGTCATGCCAGCACTGTGGATGCACCAAATTGTGGTCTCTGATTCAGTGGAGCTTTACAGTCTACTGAAAAGAAGAGACAGAGGTGGGTGCAATACACAGACAAAGGCCCACCTCAAGTCTTTGAGTATAAGTGCTCCAAAGGGAAGGAAGAGAATTGGACTTGGAGGTTTGGTGACAAGTGTTGAACAGGAAGGACTCCACTAGTGGTCCATCACTCAGTCTGGAAAACATGTAGCTGACTCAGTGTTCATGGGACCAGAGGTATTTCTGTGACTTCCTAAGCTAGCTTTTGCTCAGTGACTTGGGATGCTGAGTCAGCAGAATCATCAGGGCCTCCAGTCTAGGATGCCAAGTACCCCACCAGTTGGGTAACCTTGGCAAGTTGTTTCATTCCACTTGGAAAATGGGGAGAGCTTGGCAAGGTGTGAGAAAATGTATTGCAACATACCTGTAATCCCAGCTGCTCAGGAGGCAGAGGCAGGAGGATCTTGAATACTAGTAGACAAAGGTAGTGGGGAGCCCCTATCTCAAAGACAAAAGGGATGAGGGTATAGCTCAAGTGTAGCAAGCACAAGGCCCTGGGTTCAACTCCCAGTACGAAAAATATTGTAAGAAGGAAAAGGAAGGAAGGCAGGGAGAAAGGGAAGGAAAGAAAAGATATTCCAAGTGCCCAGCAAACGCCCCACAGGTTGCAGCCTGGCCCTTAGCTTGTTTAGCCCGGCTTCACAGTATTTGAAAGAAACTGTTATGAATTGTAACATTAGGATTTCCCAGGCTTTACTTACCATCCGGGATCTCTGAGTCAGAGATGTGACTCCCAATTTCTGCAGAAAGCCTCCAGAGGCTGTCCCCATCTGATGAGATACACGTTTGTCATTAAATTTGCCTTGTCCCTACCCAGTGCACTGCTAATCAACACACTGTTGGCATTAATACCAATTTGAGAGGGATGGGATCTCTTTGGACTTTGCTGTGGCACATGATTTTCAGAACCCAGAGTGACTGCAAAGGCTTCTTCACAGGCATCTTCCCAGTGCAGTGTTGAGGTTAGACTTGGTCTTGTCTGACATGATCCCAAAGATCTTGGGGGCTCTGGGGCTCACAAGGTTCTTTTCAATTGTGGTACCAATAGTTAACATGAGACCTACCTCTTAACACATCTGTAAGTGTATACATAATATGGTATTGTTGACTGTAGACCAGTGTCCCACAGATCTCTTGAGCTCATTCCTCTTGTAGTCCAGGGGACTCTCCAACCACCTGCCAGCTGAAACCTTATTCCCCTTGAACTACTCTTCATTTCCCTCCCCAGCCCTGCCCTCACCCTCCTACTCTCTGCTTCTATGAGTTTGACAGTTGTAGATTGCTCATATGAGTGGGATCATGCAGTATTTTGCTTTCTGTCACTGGCTTATTTCACTAGAATAATGTCCTCCGGGTTCATCCATGTCACGCATGGCAGAATTTCTTTTTTTAAAGACTGAATAAAACTGCATTGTATGTATATGCCACTTTTCTTTAGCTTTTCGTTGTTCGATACACAGATTTTTTAGTAGAATTTTTTTTCGCTGAGATAATTGTAGATTTACATGCAGTTATAAGAAATAATGCATAGAGCTCTTCCCCAGTTTTGTTCCATGGTGACGTCTTGCAGGACTGCAGGATGTGGTCATGGAGACCTGGGTTTGCAGTTGGAGCAAAAGCACATTGCAGGTTACTAGTGCCCCTCAGCTTAGGATTCCGGCTTCAGGCAAACTCTGTCATCAGAGGGAGCTTTCAGAAGATCCACGCTGTTTCTCATGGCCTCTTCTCGGGATAGAAGTCCCACCTCACTGTGAGAGACACACCCCTGGTGTGCCTCCACCACTGGCTGTGGTGGAGGCCTGAGCTGAGAGCAGACTGTAGGGTGAAAGGAGCTGCAGGACCAGTGAAAGTGTCAGCTTTCGTCTTTGTCCTTCCGGGTACTGCCTTCCCCAGGTGTGAGATCAAAGGCGCTGTGTTCTGAGACTGCAGGTGAAATCCAGGAAGAGAAGAGGCATACAAAACAATTGTCATCTGCCACTTGCTTGACAGTAGTCCTGCAAGATTTCCCTTCCTTCCCTATAGCGAGAACAGTCTCCTATTGTTTCCTGCCTGGCTCGGATGTGGTTGATCAAACTTGTTTTAAGTTTCTTGGTCTTTTTTAACCTACTTTCTCCTTCCCGTAATTTGTAGATAAGTTACTGGTATTGCTTCATTTTTACCAGCAGCCCTCTCACCAAACCAAACCAAAATTGAAGAGAGAGAGAAGCAGAGTGGAGAGCAGAGTTATTCAGAAAGACTGTAATTTCGGGTTAAATTTGACACGCATCAGCATGCTCAGATAAATGTCTTAATTGAAATCCACGTGTGCAGCAACATCATACGTTCCTGCTAGGGGACAGAATTTTCATTCTGTGGCAGTCCAGTGCTGAGCAGATACTGTTTCTTGTGGGGGAGCAGAGTCAGAGAAGGAGAACTCTGAAACTAACATGGAAATTTTTGCAAAATGAATATAGATTAAAATTTGGGGGGTGTGTCATTATCCTTTTTCTTGAGACAGGATCTCACTACGTATCCCAGAGTGACCTTGAGCACTGGCGTTACAAGCATGTGTCATCACCCCTGGCAGGGTGCTTTTTTTTTTAAAGAGATTTTTTTCCATTCTGGGCTCTGAGGGAGAGTTTCCTTAGTTCTCGCATTCCTTTATGCATTCCATAGCACATGTCTTTCTGTGCACTTGTGCTGAGAGGTTAGGGGTGTGGTGACACACAGCTGAGACGCACTTCCTGTCCTCCCGGCTTCTCACCCTCATAGGGTATGGCACCATTGTGGGGCTTGCCAGAGATGCAGAGGGGGTGTGGGGTGCTGAGATGAAGGAGGTAGTGGGTGTGGTAGCAGCAGAGTCACAAGAGCTCTCATGATCTTGTCATAAGGCCTCTAAGAGCAGTAAACCTTTTGGAGCCTGCCCCTTGAGCGCCACCTTCTCTGGGACCAGGTTGGAGGAGGTGTGTCAGAGCCAGTTGCTTCTGGTGCTGTTCCACCTGCCACCTTAAGAGGCAGCAGAGTACTCTGAAGCCAGACTACCAGGGGCATCTCAAACCCTGGCTGCTCATCTTCTTAGGTGTCCTAGGGTGAGTTACTCCAGCTCTCTGGGTCTCGGTGTGAGCAGTGAGCATGGGTCTGTGGGGAGGATTTGATGCTGTGTGTGGTGCTTACTCCGAAGACTAACCTGCATAAGTGCACACATCTTAGATGCTGTCATCACAGTGGATCATTTCTGAGGCTGTGTAGTTTGTGCTCTCCTGACTTGAGGCCTCCCTCCCTAAGCTTCGAACTGGGTGCTGGACTGACAAATACGGAAGCACTGTGCAGTGCATCCCTTGAGAGGCACCCCTGAAGCAGATGCAAAGGCATGGAGCCAAGAGGTACCAGCAGCGATGATGTAGTGACTGAGGGGAGACGATCAGGATTAAACTTTGCCATTGTGGGAGCAAAGCTCTGTGTGTGTATTCTGTGTGTGCTCCCTGACTTAGCTGTGAGGTTTAATCTCTGGAAAGTGTAAATACTTCTCTGTTCACATGTGGTCCTGCACTGGATGGCTGTGAGTTCAGAAGGTGGAGTGAGGATTCTGGGGCAGAACAGGCTTTCCTGACCTAAAATACCAGCATTGAGCATCGCTCTG